TCTCCCTTTACTAATATATACAAAGAAAAACAATTTTGGATACATCATATACATTGTATACAAAATTGTATATTTTTGTATATGTCATAAATACAAACTTGTATATTTTGTAAATCTCATCATTCCAAACTTGTATATGCTTTGGATATACCATCTTTCCAAAGCATATACAAGCTTGTATATGTTGGTTTTTTTTGCAGTGCCCAAGTTACACCGCTGTTATAATAGATGGTGTCATCTCGGGGACAGATGAACGTTCATTTCCTTATTCAAGAGGAAACTTGTCCTGATATAATATGTATTCTCAATCGTGCTAGAAGATACACGTATATTATAGTAATTTATGTGAGATCTGATCATAGAAATGTGGATGGATGGGCAATGTGATGAATTAGGGACAATTCACCATAACATTACCAACCCCGTTTATTTTAAAACTATAACGAATGGAGAAAATGTTTATATTAATATCTGCAGTTTTTAAAGGGTTTTGGTTTGTATGTATTGCAACTGGTTAATGAAGTTTGGGGTGGAAATGTTGCTATCGAAAGCAAGATTCACGACACTTAATCCTTCGTCAAATAACATGTACACAATTTGTTTTCCGTAAAGGAGTAAGTCACAATAATTGAATATCGAGGACAGTGGCTCCTGAAATTGTCTCGAGTATTTCCGTGAGTTGAACACACGAACCAATACAGACTCGCGTGGCCGTGATCTGTGTGTTTCGTGCATGAGGAGAACGCACGTGTCAATTTCATCTTCTGATTGACAGCCGAGGCCGCCAGCGTGACAACCGTTTGTATCAGTCCTTGCAATATCGATATCCTTCAGCGTGTTTATATACATATCCAGCAGTTTTAATCACTTCCCTTTAGAAAGATTGCATTACAGCTTTAAGTGTATGAAATATCAGAGCATGACCGAAATCACCTTTTTCTAAATTTAACAAATCTATGTAGGTAGGTGTCTTTTCAATATGTGCACAGGTTTTCTGATATTAACCATTAAGGTGAATATTTTCGCATGTTTGTACACCTACGTTTACAAATGTCCAAATATCAGAAAACGTATGCCACTGTTTAAAAGAAACGTACTACATAGATTTGATGTGTTATTGGGCGAGTTTACTTCTCCTGATCAAATGATTATCCAGTGTGTTGTATCTCCATTTAGTTACTATAAATAGCCTCGACCCTTTCCCCGCCGTGGCTTGTTTCGGCAGTGACGTCTCAATTTCTCAGATTAGGTTTAAGATGAAGATGTGAGCAGTGTTGTTGACATGCACAACAGCGTGGGGTATCTTGCGGTTGGATTAAACTGCGAATTATTGCGGATAAACATTCAAAATGGCTTCACAACTGATTTTCAAGGATAATATATACGTCAATTTATGGTTTTATCAGTAGCATTAAACGTTTATTACATTAAAATACAAACTCCTGATTGCTTAAGGAAACTTATTTTCCATGTAGCCCGATGAGAAATCAATCGGAACACACATTAGGCAACTTGCGTATCTCGCAATACTATTTTTGACCTGAAATGAGCCGAGTTTTATCTGAATGCATTGGGTACAGCGAACTCGGTTCGTTTGTGTCGTCGAGTCAAAGCCTTTACTCCGTGAAACTTGGGACATATATATTCCGGGTCTGTATGAATGAATGTGAGAGAAATTCGTTGTCAACCGATCACTCGGGGCATATGGTGTGATGTACCCGTGTGTGAGCCTCTGTACGGCTCGGGGTACATACGCTCACACACAGGGTACATCACACCTGACGGCTCGGGGTACATACGCTCACACACAGGGTACATCATATATTAATAAACATATATACAAAAAGAACAAATCCAAGTAATGGACGAACAATTGACTGAAACAAATAAAAACAGCACCCCTTTTCTGATGATTCTGTGATGAAAAAAATAAAAACATGCTTCTATCGTTATTCTAAAGTGTATTAAAAGCAGTGAACCAAGGTTTTTACAGGAGCCTTAATTAAACTAAAGCGGTCCAAAATCTCCAGTCAATGGGAGTAAAATAAATAATCAGGGGGTCGGGGAGTACCATCTGCCGCACTGGTGCCTCGCAGTCGCCCCAAATTTTAAATTTGAAGGACCAGCTAGCCAATGACAACAAGAATTTAGCAAAAGTGTGTGAAGTCAAATGGTTCGTCCAATGTCGCTCCTTCGTCATGCTCGCCCTACCCAACGCAGTCGCTAATTCCTAGTTGTGCCATTTAACCCGCACCTCGAGCAGACTCAGCCCAGCGCACATTGTCACCAGTTGCAGAAACCTTCACTTACTGCCGCACTAAAGAAGACTAGCTAATGGCTAGCTTGCTCGTACGACCCTACTTCGCGTGCCTGCTGAGAAAACGGTCTCAGCGGACGGGGTAAATTGCTCCCAAGTACCGAATCTTTCCATTCCAGTTTCACAACTAGAGAAAACCAAAACTATACAACAAGCTGCGTGACACACACCCTATCATACCCCCACCGCACCCCCGCTATCATACCCCCACCGCACCCCCGCTATCATAACCCCCTGCACCCCCGCTATCATAACCCCCCGCACCCCCGCTATCATCCCCCCACCGCACCCCCGCTATCATACCCCCACCGCACCCCCGCTATCATACCCCCACCGCACCCCCGCTATCATACCCCCACCGCACCCCCGCTATCATACCCCCACCGCACCCCCGCTATCATACCCCCACCGCACCCCCGCTATCATACCCCCACCGCACCCCCACCGCACCCCCGCTATCATACCCCCACCGCACCCCCGCTATCATAACCCCCCGCACCCCCGCTATCATACCCCCACCGCACCCCCGCTATCATACCCCCACCGCACCCCCACCGCACCCCCGCTATCATACCCCCACCGCACCCCCGCTATCATAACCCCCCGCACCCCCACCGACGCACATCTGCAAAGCAGTACTGGCCGCCCCTAATCTATTTGATCTACTTGTCACAACCAAACAAGAATTACGTCCAACAGCTTGCAGTGACCAACACCAGGTAAGAAGATCTCATGGTGTGTGTCTGAAGGATTTTTAGTTGTACGGCTCCAGTTAACTCACGTGCAATTCCTTCACAAGACGCCATCGTACAAGAAAGGTAGTCCCCTGCTAAGTTAGGTTTTCCGAGCCTATTAAAGACATTTGACCTCGTTTTCATATTTATACCACAAGACAAGGCGATAAATTCATGCTTCTCTCGTTCTTCACGTGTTGAAAACGCGTCAATGCTTTTTCATAACAACGGGGCGGTATACAAAGTCTACATTTAAGACGCATTCTCTCCCAGGGCGAATGTTTATAATCAAAACATACTGAGACGGTCCCTTTTCATTGCAAAGGCGCGAACTCGCGTTGTCCAAAATATGCTCGAGCTTCACGTAGTTATATAAGACACATGGTACATTTGTACAAGCAAGTTACTGCACACTAAATAAGGAAGGAGTCGTTGCATGGTTTGTTTGATGGTCTAACATATTTTACTTCTCGGAGAGACAAAAACACTATCACGAGCTTTGATATATAGTTTTGATTTTAAAAATAAATAGAATATATTATGAGATTTATACCCCGCATCCTATTCCTAGTTTGTGAGTTTTGAATCTCATAGAGAAAAACTCGAGGAAAAGTGCTTTATTCAAATTATAAACCAACTTTTACACTTTAAAATACTTTAAAAAGATGAATATCTATGTACACATTTTGGTAGACGAAAACGGTCGCTCGAATACAATTCACGAAAAAGCATGCGAGCACAGGAACCTACCCAATTCCGCGCGTGCAACACGACTCTCTCGTGATAAGACACGCGCTCAGCTGTTGCTCTATTGAATGTAAAAGGCAACGCGTATCATTTTTAACCATTTAGATGATGAGTGAGTGAGTATGGTTTTACGCCGCTTTCAGTAATATTCCAGCAATATCACGGCAGGGGGACTCCAGAAATGGGCTTCACACATTGTACCCATGTCGAGAATCGAACCTGGGTCTTCGACGTGACGAGCGAACGCTTTAACCAGTAGGCTACCCTACCATCCCACATTCAGATGTTATTTCACATATTAATGTTTGATAATTTAGAACTGGCCAAAGTGATTTGTTTGTTTGTTTGTTTGTTGTTAAACCCCGCACTGTAAATCTGTAAATAATCGAGTCTGGACCAGACAATCTGATGCCAAAGTAACAGCTAGAATCTCGGGGGAAAAGTATCTGTTCTTCATATACAATTCCATCCGTGAAGATCCGTTTCAGAATAGTTCTTCAGCACCCATGTTTGTCGTAAGAGGCAACTGACGGGGTCGGGTGGTCAGGCTCGCTGCTTTGTTTGATGTTTGACATCGATCCCACATTGCGAGGATCGATACTCATGATATCAATCACTCGATTATTTACAGACCGCCGTCATATAGCTGGAATATTGCTTAGTGCGGCGTAAAACAACAAAACCAACGTTTCACTGAACTTTACGTCCCGGAATACAGTGACTGAAGCGGTAGTAAAACTTCTTCTACATGGTGCCTGAAACATGTTCATCGATGAGCAACACAGTGTAGATGAACTTTCAACGAAACGCTAATTCCACCTGAAAATGAATATAGGATCAACTGCACTGATCACTCGAAGTTGTAAGACAAGTAGGTAAGGTCTGACTAGTATCACTGCCTAGCCTTACCTACTTAATTAATGAGCATCTCCCAACTGTGAGCTCATGTGGGTGATACAGATGAACCAGATTATGACTGTGTTAAAAGGTGGTGTTTGATCTGTGCCCGGTTGCATGTGAGTGAGTGAGTTGGGTTTAACGCCGCTTTTAACAGTGTTATATCACGGCGTATCAGCTTAATGTGGGAGGAAAGCCCGAAGTGATGCAGGTCACAGACGTTTACCACTTCGGTGAAACCCACGAGCACGGGTATGGTGCTGACAAACCTAGAAACATAATCGGGGTGAACCGGGATTCGAACCCACAATCATAGGTTTCTGGCGTGCCCAAGGGACGCAACTCTGCACAGCGAATCGCGGCGCCTTAGACGACTGGGCCACCCGTGCCCCCCGGTTGCACGTAGTTGTTTTCTGATGATATAGTTGTGAGACTCAGTGTATTTTAATAAAATCGTTTGACCTTAGAGTTTATTTAGCATCTTATCAAATTTATTAAATGTTACCATGAAGAACACATTCACAATATTAACAATCCCACATGTGGTATATAACATGAAATGAAAGTCGGACGAATTCATTGAGTCGCAGAAAGGAGCCCCACATCTTGCCTGAGGGGTTCACGTGCTCCAAGAATCGAACCGGAGGCGTCTGAAGGAGAAGTTGTGCACTGGGCAGAAGACCCCTCTTGGATATTAGGATGCAGATAGACATTTGCTAAAGCAGACTTGAGCATGAATATCTCGAATGATGAGCAATCACACGAACTGTGATTCATATAGAGTGATATCTTGTTGGAACTATCACCAATCTGTCACAATATTCAAATATACCATACTTTGCTTAAATTTGTCATCAATATAAATATATAATAAACATACCATTCATGTACCTCATTTTGGTTCTCTGTTATCTGTAGTGGACAACGGGTAACACGTACTAGTGCATTCAATCTTACCTCGCCTGACATTTGGGAGGTTCCCTGCAGATCGCCGAAGACCCGGGTTCGATTCCCGACATGGGTACAATGTGTGAAGCCATTTCTGGTGTACCCCGCCGTGATATTGCTGGAACATTGCTAAAAGCGGCGTTAAATCAAACTTACTCACTCACACAATTCTTTAACGCCGCATGAGCACTGGTGCAGCTATTCGCGACAAAGTTTTACTGCTGAATATATACCTGGGCGGAGCTTAGTCAGTTCCATGTTTTGTGATTAATCACACGCTCTTATTAATGAGCGAGTGACTTTGGCTTAATCCCGCTTTAACAGTACTCAAGTTACACCACGGAGCGTCTGCCACAGGAGGAACGTCTTAGACGTTTACCGCGCTGGTGAAAACCACGAGCAGCGGTTTTAGTGCTGGCACCCCTAGAAACAAACAGGGCGAATCTGGCATTCGAACCCACGAGCACAGGTATAATGCTGGCACACCTAGAAACAAACAGGGCGAGTCTGGCATTCGAACCCACGAGCAGCGGTATAGTGCTGGCACACCTAGAAACAAACAGGGCGAGTCTGACATTCGAACCCACGAGCACCGGTATAGTGCTGGCACACCTAGAAACAAACAGGGCGAGTCTGGCATTCGAACCCACGAGCACCGGTATAGTGCTGGCACACATAGAAACAAACAGGGCGAGTCTGGCATTCGAACCCACGAGCACCGGTATAGTGCTGGCACACCTAGAAACAAACAGGGCGAGTCTGACATTCGAACCCACGAGCACCGGTATAGTGCTGGCACACCTAGAAACAAACAGGGCGAGTCTGGCATTCGAACCCACGGGCACCGGTATAGTGCTGGCACACCTAGAAACAAACAGGGCGAGTCTGGCATTCGAACCCACGGGCACAGGTTTCTGCCACGCCTGTTGGACTCCGAATGCGACTCCTTCAATGATGTGGCCACCCATGCCCCGAACATATATGCAGGAGAATGATTACTCTGTTACCATAGGGACACTATTCCAGTTTCACACAGGGAACTAATGAGACTTTCTGCACCAGATCCTGGAACATTGTCGACCCGTAAACTGGTATTCGTCATTCCAAAAGAACAGGCACTTGATGTCCATTCACCCTTGTTTTGCAACTTTTTTGGCATGTTTACTAGTTTGTTTTTCTGCACCTGGTTTGCGAGTAGTCGTAGTCGGTGGGGGTAGTGACGGCACGACACCTATTTGGAAGAAGTTGTGAAAAAGTCGTGGTTCGGATTTTCTCCCATAGACACTAATCCTATATAACAGAAACTCCAGCGTCCTCATTTGCTTAGGATCCACGTAGTGAAAACTTATTGTCAGCTGGCTGCAACATTCCTTGCCCTGCAAGTAGAGCGAGACAGTGTTTAGATGAGTTCCACGACGGGAGAAGCGGGAGGTAGCACTGCCAATATTCAAGGGATTCAATTCCACGGTAATGTGGAAGTTTGATGACCAGCGTTTGATGACGTCACAGTTAACTCTCAATATGACCACCGTCTAGTAGTATAATCAGCGATGTCACAGACAGTTTACTCTCACTATGACCACCGTCTAGTAGTATAATCAGCGACGTCACAGTAAACTCTCAGTATGACCACCGTCTATTGGTATAATCAGCGACGTCACAGACAGTTAACTCTCAGTATGACCACCGTCTATTGGTATAATCAGCGACGTCACAGTTAACTCTAGGTATGACATCCGTCTATTGGTATAATCAGCGACATCACAGTTAACTCTCAGTATGACCACCGTCTATTAGTATAATCAGCGTCGTCACAGTTAACTCTCAGTATGACCACCGTCTAGTAGTATAATCAGCGACATCACAGTTAACTCTCAGTATGACCACCGTCTATTGGTATAAACAGCGACGTCACAGTTAACTCTCAGTATGACCACCGTCTAGTAGTATAATCAGCGACGTCACAGTTAACTCTCAATATGACCACCGTCTATTGGTATAATCAGCAACGTCACAGTTAACTCTCAGTATGACCACCGTCTAGTAGTATAATCAGCGACGTCACAGTTAACTCTCAGTATGACCTCCGTCTAGTGGTAAAATCAGCGACGTCATAGGTAACTCTCAATATGACCACCGTCTAGTGGTATAATCAGCAACGTCACAGTTAACTCTCAGTATGACCACCGTCTAGTGGCATAATCAGCGACGTCACTGTAACTTTCAGTATGACCACCGTCTAGCAGTATAATCAGCGACGTCACAGTTAACTCTCAGTATGACCACCGTCTATTGGTATAATCAGCGACGTCACAGTTAACTCTCAGTATGACCACCGTCTATTGGTATAATCAGCGACGTCACAGTTAACTCTCAGTATGACCACCGTCTAGTGGTATAATCAGCGACGTCACAGTGAACTCTCAATATGACCACCGTCTAGTGGCATAATCAGCGACGTCACAGTTAACTCTCGGTATGACCACCGTCTATTGGTATAATCAGCGCCGTCACAGTTAACTCTCAATATGACCACCGTCTTTTGGTATAATCAGCGCCGTCAAAGTTAACCCTCAATATGACCACCGTCTATGGGTATAACTAGCGACGTCACAGTTTACTCTCAATATGACCACCGTCTATTGGTATATTCAGCGACGTCACAGTTAACTCTCAATGTGACCACCGTCTATTGAACTAACTTCTTTGAAATATACCATGAGATCGCCAACCACTGTTAATCTAACGCTAAGGCTGTCAAAGCCAGAGTATGCAGATTCTCGATTATTCGACAAAACAACTTCCAATGAGTGTAAAAGGTACAAAAGTATATGATATGCTTTGTTTCTCACCATCACCGACCTTAAGACCGGCCTGGCATACCAAATTCAGTTACGGTTCCACATTCTAAAGTTGTGTTTGAAGTCGTAATTACGACCAGCAATGTCTTTCCGTTTAAGAATACAGGTCAACCTCGAAAACCAATATCTTTGTGATTTAAATAGATATATTTGACTTAATTGATCGGGTGGTAAGGCTCGGGAATGTAGTTGATTGCATGTCATCGTCACCCAAATGCGTAGATCGATGCTCAACATATCAATCACAAAGAAGCAATGTCGTATGTGAACTTGCAAATCAAGTTTCTCGAGAAGTAAGAATTAGATTCTTTGTCCTGAACAAAACAAAATGCACATGTAATGATTTGAATATAGATAAATCGATCTTTGGAGAGAAATAGTTCCAATTAATTATAAATGATAATGATATAATACACACAACTATTTTAATTAAATGACACTATTCATTACAATAATTATATAAAAACATATATTCATGTAAAATAAATTATTGACATCTTTAAATATTAGATATATATATTAAAAAAAACAGTATTTGTTGTACGAATCATTTCTCACAAGTCACATCATAAAACGGAATTCCTTATACACGACGCCTGCGGGACCTTACCTTCTTAGTTTCATGGCGGTCCCACTTCTGAATAGCTTTAGGCAGGGAGCCCATGATATGGTCCCCGGCGCTGAAGGCGTGGAAGGACTCCCGACCGAACCTGTCTAGGGTGTTGTGGACGGGGACTCCGACATTGTGTAGACAGCTCGCTACTTCCACGTCTTCGTCCGTCCCTGACTTCGCGCACGTGTCCTGGACAAGGGAGATGAGTAGGGATGAGTGGGCAGGGTTTGAGTTGTTGAGTGAAATTTTACACGGCTTCAAGTTATGATATTCCAGCAGTGTCACGGCGGGGAACACCAGAAATGGGCTTCATACATTGTACCCATATTGGGATTCAAAACCGGGAAAGGAAACGCTTTAAGAACAAGGCCACCCAGTCGCCAACATCGTTACGGGATGGCTTGTGGAGCCCCCAGTTACAGCAAGATGAGAATATTTCGTCCTATCATATGGTCGGCTATTTGTAGCGACACACCCTGTGGGGACTCCGCCTCAGAATAAGGCCCCACGTACCTCATGCTTGTTAAAAAAAGTCGACTAAATTAGGCATCGGGTGGTCAGGCTTTGTGATTTCTGATTATGTACCTTCATGTTGATCATGCTATCAACCCATGGTTTCTATTGCCAGGCTGGATTTTGCGCACGACGTGAGCGTGACAAGGTGAGGTGGCTGGGTGGTGTGGTGTTGCGTGGGTGTGGCATGGTGTGTTGACTGGATGGTGTGGTGTTGCGTGTGTGTGGCATGGTGTGTTGACTGGATGGTGTGGTATGACGTGGGTGTGACATGGTGTGTTGACTGGATGGTGTGGTATGACGTTGGTGTGACAAGGTGAGGTGGCTGGGTGGTGTGTTGACTGGATGGTGTGGTATGACGTGGGTGTGGCATGGTGTGTTGACTGGATGGTGTGGTATGACGTGAGCGTGACAAGGTGAGGTGGCTGGGTGGTGTGGTGTTGCGTGGGTGTGACATGGTGTGTTGACTGGATGGTGTGGTATGACGTGGTAGTGGCATGGTGTGTTGACTGGATGGTGTGGTGTTGCGTGGGTGTGACAAGGTGAGGTGGCTGGGTGGTGTGTTGACTGGATGGTGTGGTATGACGTGGGTGTGGCATGGTGTGTTGACTGGATGGTGTGGTATGACGTGAGCGTGACAAGGTGAGGTGGCTGGGTGGTGTGGTGTTGCGTGGGTGTGACATGGTGTGTTGACTGGATGGTGTGGTGTTGCGTGTGTGTGGCATGGTGTGTTGACTGGATGGTGTGGTATGACGTGGGTGTGACATGGTGTGTTGACTGGATGGTGTGGTATGACGTTGGTGTGACAAGGTGAGGTGGCTGGGTGGTGTGGTGTTGCGTGGGTTCGGCATGGTGTGTTGACTGGATGGTGAGTTGACTGGATGTTGTGGTGTTGCGTGGGTGTGACATGGTGAGGTGGCTGGGTAGTGTGTTGACTCGATAGTGTGGTGTGGTGTGGGTGTGGCATGGTGTGTTGACTGGATGGTGTGGTATGACGTGGGTGTGACATGGTGTGGTGCCTGAATGGTCTGGTGTCGCGAGGGTGTGGCATGGTGTGGTGGCTGGATGGTGTAGTGTTGCGTGGGTGTGGCATGGTGTGGTGGCTGGATGGTGTGGTGTTGCGTGGGTGTGACATGGTGTGGTGGCTGGATGGTGTGGTGTTGCGTGGGTGTGGCATGGTGTGGTGGCTGGATGGTGTGGTGTTGCGTGGGTGTGGCATGGTGTGGTGGCTGGATGGTGTGGTGTTGCGTGGGTGTGGCATGGTGTGGTGGCTAGATGGTGTGGTGTTGCGTGGGTGTGACATGGTGTGGTGGCTGAATGGTCTGGTGTCGCGAGGGTGTGACATGGTGAGGTGGCTGGGTGTTGTGTTGACTTGGTGGTGTGTTGACTGGATGGTGAGTTGACTGGATGGTGTGTTGTTGCGTGGGTGTGACATGGTGAGGTGGCTGGGTGTTGTGTTGACTGGATGGTGTGTTGACTGGATGGTGTGGTGTTGCGTGGGTGTGGCATGGTGTGGTTGCTGGATGGTGTGGTGTTGCGTGGGTGTGGCATGGTGTGGTGGCTTGATGGTGTGGTGTTTCGTGGGTGTGCTATGGTGTGGTGGCTGGATGGTGTGGGGTTGCGTGGGTGTGGCATAGTGTGGTGGCTGGATGGTGTGGTGTTGCGTGGGTGTGGCATGGTGTGGTGGCTGGATGGTGTGGTGTTGCTTGGGTGTGGCATGGTGTGGTGGCTGGATGGTGTGGTGTTGCGTGGGTGTGGCTGGATGGTGTGGTGGCTGGATGGTGTGGTGTTGCGTGGGTGTGACATGGTGTGGTTGCTGAATGGTCTGGTGTCGCGAGGGTGTGACATGGTGAGGTGGCTGGGTGTTGTGTTGACTGGGTGGTGTGTTGACTGGATGGTGAGTTGACTGGATGGTGTGTTGTTGTGTGGGTGTGACATGGTGAGGTGGCTGGGTGTTGTGTTGACTGGATGGTGTGTTGACTGGATGGTGTGGTGTTGCATGGGTGTGGCATGGTGAGTTGACTGAATGGTGTGGTGTTGCGTGGGTGTGACATGGTGTGTTGACTGGATGGTCTGGTGTTGCGTAGGTGTGGCATGTTGTGTTGACTGGATGGTGTGGTGTTGCGTAGGTGTGACATGGTGTGTTGACTGGATGGTGTGGTATGACGTGGGTATGACTTGGTGAGGTGGCTGGGTGGTGTGTTGACTGGATAGTGTGGTGTTGCGTGTGTGTGGTATGGTGTGTTGACTGGATGGTGTGGTATGACGTGGGTGTGACATGGTGTGTTGACTGGATAGTCTGGTGTTGCGTAGGTGTGGCATGTTGTGTTGACTGGATGGTCTGGTGTTGCGTAGGTGTGGCATGGTGTGTTGACTGGATGGTCTGGTGTTGCGTAGGTGTGGCATGTTGTGTTGACTGGATAGTCTGGTGTTGCGTAGGTGTGGCATGTTGTGTTGACTGGATGGTCTGGTGTTGCGTAGGTGTGGCATGGTGTGTTGACTGGATGGTGTGGTGTTGCGTGGGGATGGCATGGTGTGTTGACTGGATGGTGAGTTGACTGGATGGTGTGGTGTATCGTGGGTGTGTCATGGTGTGTTGACTGGATGGTCTGGTGTTGCGTGGGTGTGACATGGTGTGGTGGCTGAATGGTCTGGTGTTGCGTTGTTGTGACATGGTGAGGTGGCTGGGTGGTGTGGTGTTGCGTGGGTGTGCCATGGTGTGGTGGCTGGATGGTGTGGTGTTGCGTGGGTGTGACATGGTGAGGTGGCTGGATGGTGTGGTGATGCGTAGGTGTGGCATGGTGTGTTGACTGGATGGTGTGTTGACTGGATGGTGTGGTGTTGCGTGTGCGGGACATGGTGAGTTGACTGGATGGTGTGCTGTTCTGCTAGTGTGTGTTGTATGTTTGTGGAGTGGATTTGAGATGTGTTTGTTCGTGGGTGCGATTCACAATTTCTTTTCTTTTTCTTTTTGCAAAACAAGCATATTATTTCTAAAAAATGATAAAAGGCGATGACACCAAGTACCTTGCCCCGATTTGGAAAGTTAAATATATCGTTAAATTTTCGAGTGATGTCCTAATTGGGTTTTTTTCAATATGTTCATAGATAAAGCTGGACAATTGGGTATTTTGACAACAATCTCCGAAGCTGTCGGTCTGTTTAGGGAACCCACGGGACGTGGAAATTGACGAGGAATATATTTTTTAATATAATAAAACTGAAAACAAAAATGCATTAAAGAGATTTCAAGCACCACCATCCTGATGGATATCAAGTGTTTGTTTACAAACAGGGAACATACGTTTTTATTGTACCCTTGTTCCACCAGAAGTCGTAGAGCCTGTCTGCTGATCACGTAGCCAGCGCCTCCGCTCATGTACCCCCACTTGGTGTATTTCTTGAACAGGTGACCCACATACACCCCCTCAGTCGGGTCATAGTGCGACAACAGAAACTTCAAGTTCTCCATCACGACGAACGTATCGTCGTCCGCTTTCAGAAACCAGTCATACTTGTCTAGATGATGTTTGTAAATATGCTTTAAAGACGCTATCGACTTTTCCGTCAAGTGCTGGCGGCCATCTTTGATATTAAGGTTTAATATGTCCAATCCAGTATTAGGTTTATTGGTTGTCATGACAAACATTCTGTGATCGCAACGTTTCGCCCAAGTCTCGTTCACTGCCGGGATTTTCTTGTTGACCTCTGTTTCCTTTGTTGTTATCCAACAGAAGATCTTCAGTTTTGATAAGGTATCCATGGCAACGGAATCATCTATTAATACTGAAAATGGAACATACTTATTTCACTTATAATACACTGTTCAATATAACACGATTTCAATAGTATTCCAGCGTTTCAGCTTGAGGCGGGAGGAAAGACTAACGTGACGGACAGCCGTTACATGACCTCTGTGTGTCGCCGACCTGCACAGCAGGATGCGACGACTTACACCCTGGTTGGGATGTCATAATTGTCACAGACAGACACTTTTATTCAGTAGAAGGCCTCCGGCCCAAAATACGTACAATAGCATGACCATGCCTGTGCATTTAATATCATATTTACAATTAGGTGTTTCTTTTTATATTTACATGGTATAGGAATAGACTGACAATTCTGATAACATCAATGCTCTTACTCTGCATGATAGAAATATAACTGGTATGTGCAGGATATTTACAAATATATTTTAAAATGAACATGTTTCTCATATATAGAAAATTCATCTTCTACAGCAAAGTAACATTTAAGCTTGCAGGACATAAAGTTTCTTTCATCATAAAATATATTTTCATATCTGCCGGTCTCAACAGCAAGCTTGAAACTGCAACATCTAATTCTAGAATAGGATGTTCTAAAATGTTGAGGAAGATCACCTATGCCTAAATACTTTTTAATATTTAAAAGTTATTTAAACTTGTTATAGTAAAACACTCGTGATGACTGAAAGTGCTCAATGAAGCTCATCCTCATGAAATCTTTGCTTAAAACGTGCAATGAAGTGTGCCTGGTTTCCTATTTCCTGACTACGCCACGCCCAAATGTAAACAGAATGTTTCTTATGTGTGATGCCCATGTGTCACGGCCTACATTATACAGAGATTTCAACATAATATAACATTGTTTTGGTAACCTATTGTTTACTAGGTGTAATATTCTGCTCCAATACTTAATTGCCTCTGTAATACATACCTACTGCAAAGCGACTCTTCCACATTCCCCAAGAACCATGTTTGATAGATTGATAGTTGATTTACCAACCTTTAAACTATATTTACAAATTTAATAAGTACAGATTCAATAGTTTAACAACATGTGGTACCCCTCATATATTACATATTTCAGAACTATAACATAGAATATGTGTTGTCATACAATCAAATACCATTTCAGATCTAGACAACTGATGTTACTAAGTTATCTCTGGTAATTATTCACTGAACATACTGCCTTATGTGCTTGGTGATAAAAGACAGGCCTGACCTGCTCCGGACTAACTTAGAGGTGACTACAAGCCCCAAGTGTTGTTATAAAGCTGTTTTTCTACACGTGTACCGTAATAAAACCATTTTTCGTCTGACCTTAAGGGACCACCATTCTAAACGTAATCATCTTAGTTATATTCAAATTTCCTTTTATGCCAGTACGTTTACCAAACCTTTCTAGTACAGTTATCTTTCTTTGCTTATGTGAACAGGTGTCGGGCATTGCTGAGACATCATCAGTAAACACGAGGGAGCACAAATCATTAATAGAAGAGGTAGCAGTAATACCTTGACCCTCTCTTTCCATAAGGGTACTTACATTGTTTATAAATATAATAAATATTTGTGGCATTAAAACACATCCTTGTAGTAATAAAAAAAAGTACAGATGTCAAATATTCTTTAACATTTTAACAGTTCACTTGACTTGGGTGAAAAAACATAACAAAGATGTCTGCAGAATTTCTGTTGTACATTACGCATATGTAAAATTATTTTTTTAAATAAAGCATCAATAAAAATATTGAACGTATTTACACGCATAAATCTATGCACGATTCACTTGACATTCATTTGACATTTCAACAGGGAGCGACGATCGTTAGACGTGCTTCAAGGAAACACGCAAGTGCTGCTGCTAAATAACAAGTCTCCGTGAAAATGAATTCCTCATACCTTCATGTCAGAATGATGAGATCCGCCTTGGAGGTAAAAATATTCTCAGCGGGGGAATAAATCTCTTATACCCCGCCACGAGCAATACAGGCTGCACGTGGATTTCTCAGAGGCAGAATAAACCCCTTATACCCAAGTGTGCTATGTCAATGGAACAGCTGTTTTCTATCAGTTTTGAATTTGTGTTAATGCTTTTACAATGTCACATTAAGATGTCATGTCCGTAAGATAAATTCGCTGTAGCAGGATCCCTCGGGGGACATGGGATTTTATGAAACCTAACGCGGGACGCCTAAAACCCAATGTTGCCGGAGTGATCCTGCGACAACTTAGAGTGTGCGCCTCGTAGTTGTAACTATGTCTTCCCGTCACGTCCTACCTGAACTGTCTAGGGTGTCACGCATGACTGTGTCCACTCTTGTTCGTGAGCCCTCCACCGCTACAACAGATAACAGACCACTTGATGCAGTGATTCAGCCCTCTATTTTTTTAAATCGTTCGGTTAACGCAATTAGTTTTCCACAACCATCGGGTTGACGGTCTCAATAAAAATATAGAATGAAATTGTAAAAACAGGGCCAGGGCATTGTTGCCCGCCGTGAGATGTAGTCAGTATCACAGTCAACAAAGACAGCCGATTAACAAAAGGTGCATTGATATTTCAAACTTTTCTGCATAGGTCTTCATACAACAGTTAAATGCTTAAGATTTGGACACATTTGATGTCGTCATAAAGAAACACAATCATGCCAAACTTCAGCTTCCACCGTGACAATTTCAGATAATATTTACTGAGCCCAAAATGCATTTTGACAATAATACAGAGCATGGTAAAAACAAGCGCCATGTTTACTATTATGCTAAAACTGGAACATATGTCATTGACCTAAACAGATACCAAATTTCATTGTTGAAACTTGGTGAGTATTGGCCACATATAGGCTTTTCAATTAGAAAAGTGTTCGCATGTACTTGCAAAAACAAAAGTAGCCCCCAAACTGTTACATAACACCACGCATTTCACAGTGTTATACAGTGAAATTGGCAGTAGTCCTGTAGCCAAACTACCCAATAGTTAAGGTATCTCGAGGACGACTAGAAAATAGCGCTTTTTAAGAGTTTTGCTACATGTTATTATTATAAAGACTAGTGGGCTAAAAGTTTTAGTTTCTATCGCTGCCTTACGTTTGATGAAACGCATGCCTTCGACAACCTCGTGTCAGATTAAATGACCTTGCAACCAGCTAACATAATAAAAACCCTTAACACATTTCCACCGTAACAATACATTATCTATCATACAGACCCTGAAACAAATACATCTGATAAGTCAATAGTAGTGGGCAAGTCTAGATTATTGCAATTCCTGAAAATGAAGATAATATCTGGGCTCCTATTTATTATATTTTATTAAGATTATTTAACCATATTTTCTGTAACATATCATTTCAGAGACCAGATGTCACTCTATGCAGAAAATAAGGTGATCACATTTCCCGGCATGCCCCGGAGGTCGTGTGTGTTGTGATACAGGAATCTCTGGACAGCTGTTTCCTATCAAGCGGCATACGGCTGGCTGTGTGAGGGAGCAGATATTTCGCCACAAACTTAAGAAAATGTATTGCTGTCGTTGCAAATTGTGTCACACAATTACCGTCTAGTGAATCAGTGTCACACAACTGTCTAGTGAATCAGCGTCACACGACTTCCGTCTAGTAAATCAGTGCCACACAAGTACCATCTAGTGAATCAAACAATGGAACCATACATTTGTTTTAACTTTACCGACTCCAAGTAAGGATAAGAATTTATGGATAAACAACTTCTGTATTACAATCAGGAGCGACGTGTCGGTGTAGGTCATCTCGTGCTTGATAACAGTGTTAGAACCTACACCGAAACGTCGCTCTTAATTGTAATACAGAAGTTGTTCATCCATAAATTCTTATCCTTACTTATCCGTACTCCAACTTCTAAATGCCTATCAAAGAAGTTTACCGACTCCAGTCTCCTCCCATTGTCCATGCCAACACCACAAAACACAAAGCAAGATCTCCGTCACCTTGGGAACGAGTGTCGGTATACGTGCCACCCATCCACAGAATAAACTGCAGCATTAACAGGCAGCCTAGCACCAGGAAACAGTATCCTCTGTACATCCTACCAGGGACGTCCTGTAGACGGATCCTGCAACAACAAACACACACTGCTGACTGACGGCTAGGTGCAGTGAGAGAAGGTTGGCCCATCCCGGCCCTGGCTTCTACCAGCAGGCCACTGACGAGATAGGACACGGTGGAATGTTGTAACGTGAGACCCGTTCAAAGTTTACCTGGGGCACATTGTTTTCAAATCATGCTTATTTTAACGTCAGTTTAACTCGTAATCCGAAAGTAAGTAAACTAGCCGTTATAATTTTGTCGCAGGGTCAATACATCACCAATATGTAGCAAGCCATTCTATAATTGGTTACTTGGTTAGTTCCAAGTGATGGTACTTCCGTCATTGTGACGTAATATAATTGCCGAATTGACGGCCAAAAGAAACTTTACCACTTTAAAAATGAAATTGCAAAAATATAAAAACACAAGTTAAAACTAAATCAATGCTCCCGTGTTGCTGTAACTAACCTGATGTAACGTAACAGACAGGGTGGGCAGGCACTAGACAGGCCAAGAACAGGCAGACCCAGGGTAACTACATCCAATGTAGACCGGTACTTGCGTTGTTTGCATCTCCGGAATCGATTCCTGACAGTGACATCATCAGCGACGAATGTCTTAGGGCATATGGTCAGACGACAGACAGTGTCCAGGCGACACAGGGCTCAAGGAATTAGGGCTTACAGACCCTATAGAGGACACTTATTGACAGCGCAACATCGTCGTCAGAGATTGAGATGGGGCCGGAGTGTATGTCACATCGTCTTCAATGATGAAAGCTGGTTCTGTCTGTACAGCGCTGATGGAAGACAGAACAGAACATACCTTTATTCACTCAGGGCTGTGAACATAGCATAATGAGGACTTTACAGAGGTCTAAAAAATGATTTCTGACATGGTGGCACAATATACAAATTTACAAAGAATGTGGCAACAGAAATGAGACAGTTTCCTCTGGGAAGATATGTTTTTACATTAAAATACCTTGGTCATTTTGAAAACTTCGATTCATGTAATAAGGAGATAAAAACCTTCTTCTTGTTTCAGTAAAACACACAATTAAACAAATAATGGTATTCATCTGCAGTATCTTTTGATGGACATAATGTACATTTCCTTTCCACAAGAGTAATGTTCTGCCATCTTCCTGTTTCAACAGTCACAAGAAAGTCTGAATTGAACCAATCGAGTTTTTTAGTGTGTGTGTGTGTGTGTGTACACAGTTATTGAACTTCGTTGAGAGGCATTTAGAAGTTGAATGAGTGAGTTGGGTTGAACGCTGCTTTTAACAGTTTTCCAGTTATATCGCCCCATGTCAGCTTAATGTGGGAGGAAAGCCCGAAGTGATGCAGGTCTTAGATGTTTACCACTTCGGTGAAACCCACGAGCACGGGTATGGTGCTGACAAACCTAGAAAACATAATCGGGGCGAACCGGGATTCGAACCCACAATGATAGGTTTCTGGCGTGCCCAAGGGACACAACTCTGCACAGCGAATCGCGGCGCCTTAGACGACTGGGCCACCCGTGCCCCCTATTTAGATAAGTAAGGATAAGTTATATGGATGAACAGCTCCTTTATCTTTACAATCCCTTTCCACCAAGTAGCAGGATAATATCCCGTAACATTCCATTAAACAGTTTATGCACACATGGATCATGTGGTCTATAGAGCATTCAGTATATTCATTAATGACGTTATCTATACCACCAGCCGTATCTTTTTTTTAAAAACAGCAAGAAATATTCTTCAGATGTGATAGGTTTATCCAGAATCTCATTGGGTTCATTTAAATCTACATGTACAATTTTGTCAAAATCAGCCTCTCCTCAATCATTTCCTTATAATGATCATAGAGCTTTTCCAAAGGAAGTAATATCTTCAGAATGTCCTTGTTTTAACCATTACCAAACCTATTTCGAATCATTCTTGCTTAGAGAATCAAATTTGTGCTGTAATTTACTTCTAAAATCATTGCCGTGTTTCACTAAAGTTTTCTTATATGATTTACTTGCATTCCGGAGGTCATTCTTGTCCGTCATTGTTCTATTTGCATAAAATGCTCTCTTAGCTGAAAGATGGTTTCTCCAAGATATTTTACACTCACGTCCAAACCATGGTTTACATGTTTTTTTCTTTTTACCTGTTTGTGATTTTTTAAGTATATGCATGTCATCGTATCCCAACTGCGTGAATCGATGCTCATGGTATCAATCACTGGATTGTCTGGTCCGGACTCGATCATTTACAGACCGCCGCCATATAGCTGGACTATTGCGGAGTGTGGCGTTAAACAACAAATAAACAAACAAACATGTATCGTTCACCCATACACAATATTCACTGCTTCTCTGTGTGGTTACATTGGGCGTATGTTCCCAAGTTGCTACTGGGATTAATCCTGATCGATTAATGCAAGTTTTCTTATGCAGGGAAATTATGAATTTTGTACTCAGGAATATCAACCGAGTCAAAGTAGTCCAGTTTTGTCTCAGCAAAACCAATTACATCAAAATTGCTATTGAATTGTAAGAAGTGATTAAAGTCTAGTATTCAGATCGCATACATTTAGATATATATGTCGAATGTCACGTGACCATCCAGGATTGTGTTTGTTTATGACCGGGTCAAGTCCGTTTACATTGTCATATTGAGAGAGTTGCAGGTCAAGGTGACCTCGTTGACAGTCCCATGACATCATTTCTCCACTCAGATCACTCTGATCAACATATACTCTCTCCAGTTTGTCTCTCACCAATTTGGGGGAATGAGCTTCTTTCTCCTCTCATTCATGACGCTGGGGGCGGTCGGGTAGCCTATACATGGTTAAAGCATTCGCTCGTCACGCCGAAGACCCTGGTTCGATTCCTGACATGGGTTCAATGTGTGCAGCTCATTTCTGGTGTCCCCCGCCGTGATATTGCTGGATTATTGCTAAAAGCGGCGTAAAACCATATTCCTCATTCATGACTCTGGAGAGCTGTTCATTCACTCCCTACGGGGTACCCCTCATTTGAGTGGGGTGCGTTTTGGAGTCCCGACGGGGCCCTAGACGGTGCACCTCTCCCACTTAAGAGTTTCCTTTATGAGTGGTGTTATGTTCTGTTATCCCGCTGAATATCAGATTATTCCTCATTTTCCTCCACTGTATGTCTATCATATCTTCTCTCACCTGGTGTAGATCACTAGGTAGGGAGCCAACACGCTCTATATCCTTCTTAACATCATTTTTCAAGTAATCCACTTCCAGCTTATGCTGTTTGTTCAATGTCTCAGTGGCTGAGCGAGTTACAGCCTGCTCCTCGACAATGTCATCACATACATTGCTCATGAATTGAACACTTTTGGGGAGGGTCCTAAAAGTAGCATCTGTTTTCTCCAACCTAGTGTTCATGTGGCTCATTTTCATATTCACGTCATTCACAGCAGTTTCAAGTGTCCAGCTTGTCTAGTTTGCTTATAATGAAGTTCATTTTCTCGTTCAACTCTGAGATCTTGGGTCATGAGGCTGTATGATAGAGACTGTGGGTTGACACCCGCCCCCTGTGGGGCCACAGCTCCGGGTGCGGAGAACATGGCGTGTTGAGCAGATGAGCAGATTAAGACTCCCTGACACCAGCTTGGGAGTATCACTAACGTGTGATAGAGCCCCAGTAATGCATTGTGTACCTTTCACAGAACCTGACACAGAAATGAGATTTATAAATTTTAAGTTGACATTTGCCTCGGTAAATGGCTGGCTTCTTCCTTTGTATTTCAATAGTTTCTGCAGTTTCCTTTTTCCAGTCTTTGGTATGCAGAAATTTGGTTGTTGTCAGAAATATCGTAGTCAGGGTGGTCAAAATATATTATTTTTTTTGTACATTAATCCAACCTTTTGTACACATATAAGCATATGGATGTACACATATAAGCATATAATGTTAATGAGCTTATGGTGAATCATCGACCCAGTGCAAATAACAGAAAACGCAACCCGCAGATATATATTTTACTATTGGATGAAATACGTTTAGATTTCATATGTACTTAAAGAGGTATTTAAATAAAAATGATGATTTGTTTATACGCATTGATAGAATTATCAAAATACAGGAACAAGCTACTTAGTATACTTTCAACATTCCAAAATATTTCACTATTTTCTTTTAATATGGACATCAGCGTCAGTCATTTTGAATTCGGTTTCAACTGGGCTAAATAAACCGCAGGTGTTCACTGAAACAGCCGATAAAATGTCAGTGTATATGAGTTCATAAGATTTGACTGCGTCGGCATTTTCAGCACGAATATTGAACTGACTGTCTGCTGCGTATGCCGATTGTCTAGTCTACTATACATATGTGCTTGGACAGGTTACTAGTTCAACGGGCGAAGTCGGCAAAGGAGAAACTACTTTACAGCGCCACATCACTGACGTCCGCCCAACAAACATTGTAACCTTGACCTTTCTCTCAGTTGCTATACAGACGGTACTGAAACTGTGTGTTTTCTTGTTGATTTCTCTACAGATTACATCTGTGGTAATAAATAGAATATTTCACTGGCTTCAAATTTGATATCGAGTGTATGTCCTTTGTAAACCTTGGGCAAGTAATTATTTCAAAAGAGACAAACTTCATATTAATTGATGCTCGTGTAATACATCTACCAATGTACATCTGTACATCCCTATATACATCTACCAATCTGTCGACATTTTATGACAATAATGTACCAATCTTGCAGATGCAGTCAAACAACTGACACCTTGTTATCAACTAATGCCGACCTAGGCAACTTTAACCATAAAGATGAGGGGAGGGGGATGTCCCGGGCGCCTCAGTATCCCCACAAGTATGCGTGTTCCTGTGTTCCCGTCGCCAGTTGGACTTGGTGACTCCATCACATCCAGACAAGTTGAAGTCGTCCTGCACAAATATGGAACATGCCACCTGTACAAAGACTGGTAGGATTTGTATGTTCAGTTTTTATCTAAGAACAGCCCATATCTACATATCTACTTCCCGTGATCCATTTGTAACAGTTGAGTCTGTAGGGACATGGGGATTATGGGTAAATGTATAGAAAATGCATTCATTTCTAATTTTGTCAGCAGTTGTCTGTGACAATTCTGTTTTGGTAAAAGTGTTTTACATAATCCTCGTTATGTTGTTTGTTGTTCAGTTATATTTTTAATGAAATTTTTAAATTCGTATAAAAAAGTGTCACGCAATTTTACAATAATGAAAGGAGACCCTGAATAGTCTGTCGCGTCTATTTCACGGGCTCCACAGATGTTTAGAAACTCAGTTCGGGAGGGAACCGCATTTATACACTAGTACCTGGCTGGAAAAGTGCGGTATATATAATACTAATTCTACTACTACTACTACTACTACTACTAATAATAATAATAATGAGACAAAAACAATAGTGAAACATTTAAAAGTGGAACCAGTGAACGAACATTGCATTCGAACGAGTATTTTTCCCCCTTGTAAATGTGTCTGTGTTTATATAACATTGTGAATAACTTTTTTCTCATTGTAATTTGTTTGAATAAAAATTTGAATTAACAATGTAATTTATTTTAATATGTTACAGTCTTTTCGCATTTTCTTTCGTAGTTTATAACAAGAAGAATCCGCATGTTTACGTCATTCAGTCAATCGACGTTCACGGTGGGGAAATTATTTTATTGTAAATGTAATCTGGTGATTGACGCAGTGTTGATGCGACGCATCAAACGTTTTCTTGTTCTTTATGAAATGACGACAGCGAATAACATTGAATGTGTCTGTGCGAAGCTCCCTACAGCAAATGTGTCAGTGATCACATTCCAGAGTGGTCGGGAAGTGATCCCAGCCCCGGTGCACAAAGCGATCGTAGCGTGACGTCAGTCGAAAGCCAAAGTTAAAGTGTGGTTGTTCCTATCACCTCAGCGCCCCAGGTGCTTTAGCTTGTACACCAGGGATACCTTCCTATCTGGGATTCGAACCCAGGTTCCTGGCAAGGCTTTGGTGACGCGGCACACCGAATTCAGGATTCTCGGTGTCCCGTGCTCTTGAGAAAATAAACTTGCTAATCCATTACTTACTTTAATTTTAAAACAAAGTGAGCAGTCGTAGTGTAATATTTTATTTTCAACAAAATAAAACCATGTAAGAACATGAACACAAGGGTGATCCCCACTGGTGGCAAACTGTTTTACCGGAACAGTTGCCTTTGTTTGTTGTTTAACGCCGCACTCAGCAATATTCCTGCTATATGGCGGTCTGTAAATAATCGAGTCTGGACCAGACAATCCAGTGATTGATATCATGAGCATCGATGCACGAATTGGCCACCCGATCCCGTTAGTATCCTCTTACGACAAGAATAGTCACCATTTACGGAAGGCATACGTTGCTGAAGCCCTATAATACCCCGGATCTTCACGGCTGGTTTACTGGAACAGGTTCTCACTATGTTTGGTACCCGTTCATAGAGATCGTATTGTCTTTGAACAGGAAGCAGTTGGATGTTTATAATGCAACTTGATTGATTAATTCTGACATTGTTTAATGTGTCGTCAGAAAAATAGGCTTTGAGGAAGACACACTGCCATCGGTATAACTTGACAAGTGTGTTTATTTGTTCTTTAACTCCGCACTCAGCAATGTTCCAGCTATATGACGGCGGTCTGTAAATAATCGAGTCTGGACCAGACAATCCAGTGATTGACATCATGAGCATCTATCCACGTAATTGGGATCGATGACATGAGTCAACCAAGTTAACGAGCCTGACCACCCGATCCCGTTAGTCGCCTCTTACGACAAGCATAGTCGCCATTTACGGCAAGCATGGGTTGCTGAAGATCTATTCTACCCCGGATCTTCACGGGTCTATATAACTTGACAAAAGAAACAAGTAATAACGAGGCCGTTCATACCGTTCGTTGTCAATCTCATGAAAATCAGACCTTCGTTCTCGCTACCACTAAACAAAGATCTGAGGACATCCCAGTAGAGGTCACGTCAGAACGACCTTTCATCCGACCAATCACAGCGTCGCTTACCAGATCATGAAAGTGACAGTTGGAATGTGATTTCTAATCATGTATCCTCGAAAACTTTAACACGGTGTATCCCGAACGATAGTTACGGGTTAAACAACTGAATCCCTACTATCTAGACCATCTATTAGCGATTCCAGAATCTTCTTTTGTTCAGGTTTCAAATTTTTAATCGAGAATTTATCAAAATGTTTCAAAGGTTGTCGCCAATTTGAAAATAGTGCCGTAAAGCACGAGAAAGCTGCCTTCTGATTGGTCATTCCATTGGTCGGTCAAAGTTCGCGCAAGGTCGGACTAACGTGACCCGTAATGGTATGTCCTCGGATCTTTGTTTAGCGGTAGCGAGAACTAAGATGATTTAGATGAGATTGGTTCGTTGTAAGATCCATATACTGCATACATGTAGTGTGTGAGTATGGTTTTACGCCGCTTTTAGGAATAATCCAGCAATATCAAGGCGGGGGACACCAGAAATAGGCTTTACACATTGTACCCTTGTCGGGAAGCGAACCCGGGTCTTCGGCGTGACGAGCGACCGCTTTAGCCACTAGGCTACCCGACCGCCCCTCCATTCATGTAAGACAGCTCAGTCGAAATACTAAGATCGATTCGTGCAATCAGGACAGATGCGTTAAAAATAAATAGCATGAAAAAGTGCAAATGTAAGTGGTGACATGTTTTTCTGCCCTCAACTTCCAACGAAAAAACATTATTAACTAGCCAATGAACATGTTCAAAACATCATTTTCAAACGTCATACTACAATGACTTCTTTGATTATGTATTAAGTTTTGTTTGTTGTTTAACGCCGCTCTCAGCAATATTCCAGCTGCATGACGGCGGTCTGTCAATACTCGAGTCTGGACCAGACAATCCAGTGATTGACAACATGACCATCGATGCACGCAATTGGGATACGATGTTATGCATCAACCAAGTCAGCAAGCCTGACCACCCTATCCCGTTAGTTGCCCGTAAAAGGCGACTATGCTTGTGGTAAGAGGCGACTAACGGGATCGGGTGGTCAGGCTCGCTGACATAGTTGATACATATCCTCGTATCCCTAATTGCGTGGATCGATGCTCATGATGTCAGAATTGACTACGCCGCTCCTCAACCCATTATAAATAAAAGGCTGTAATAAATTAAACTCGGTCCAATATAACGCTCTTAATATAGCCCTGGATCCTAGAACTGGAACCTGCCTAAACAATCTACTACTACTCTCAATACGTCTAAATTACTGGGCTCGGGCAGAACACAGCCCAATTTACCAACTACCAACAGATAAATCCCAAAACACAACAAAAACAAGGCTCAAAAGATACCTCCAATAAATCAAGCCCCTTTCCTTACCCACTACATGAACTACTACAAACTCACAACCTAAACTACATACCGCATCCTCCCCTCTCTAATAAAGACATCCACAACAACACCCCACTAGAACCGATACATCATTACACACAGCATTCCAATTACACTCAGACCCGTGAAGATCCGGGTAGAATAGGTCTTCAGCAACCTATGCTTGTGGTAAGAGGCGACTAACGGGATCGGGTGGTCAGACTCGCTGACTTGGTTGATGCATGTCATCGTATCCCAATCTTGTGGATCGATGCTCGTGATATTAATCACTGGATTGTTTGGTCGAGAATCGATTATTTACAGACCGCCGTCATATAGCTTGAATATTGCTGAGCGCGGTGTTAAATAACAGACCAACCAACCAACCAACCAACCAACAAAAACAAACAAAAACTGGAATAAAATGTATCACTGAAGTAAACCGAACACACACCACCCACACACATACAAAGATGCATCACAAAACACAAACAATACAACTGGCATAGGTATCCATGTATCTGAACATATATCAATTACTTCTCATTCCCATAATATAAAAAACCCCAGCTATTCCCATTTAAATACAGAACTTTTTGCCATCTAATCTGCACTCCAGCAGTGCAAAGTATCAATCCAAGACCATTTTCTAACTAGAATGTGTTTATACTCAAAATCTTATGTCACCCAACTCTCGTTTTGTTATACATTTGTTCAAGTTGTTACCGTAAATGTGCTTGCAAATCCAAATAACAATAATTGCGAATAGCAATATAGACCGGAAAGATAATGGAAGATCTCAAATTTGTTTCCATGGAAACACAAGAAATTAAAAAACAGAACTGAAAAATATGAAAAGGCATGTTGAGCATGTGGTCATTGTACATGTTTCATACAAAAATATTCATTAGTTTGCAAGTTATGGCTCGGAAACGAAACCTTGAGTTGTTACATTGTTTCCATGGTAACCGTAATAAAATAAAATTTAGAAAGATTGCAAAATAGCAAAAGGCACCAGACCCCCAAATGCAGTACTAAGTCAATGATGTTCGTCATTCAACAAGAGATATTTTGGATCTTCTTTGTTTTCCTTTTTATGACACTTTTCAGATTGGGTTCTTGATGTGTGTCCATTCACCCTTTTTTGGCATGTTTACCAGCTTGTTTTTCGGCGCCTGGTTTGCGGATAGTCGTGGTCGGTAGAGGTAATGACGGCACGACACCTATTTGGAAGAAATTGTGAAAAAATCGTGGTTCGGATTTTCTTCCATAGACACTAGTCCTATATAACAGAAACTCCAGCGTCCTCATTTGTTTAGGATCCACGTAGTGAAAACTTATTGTCAGCTGGCTGCAACATTCCTTGCCCTGAAAGTAGATATTTTTTTCAGCTACAAAGCCATATATTGTTTTATTTTAAACTATGAGTAAGAATCTTAAGAAACACACCTTGCAATAATGTAATTTTTGTGGCCGGCATTTTTTATTCCAACTGCCTGAAGCATAAGTATTTCTTTAAATAAGTTATGGTGACATTTTTTCCCCCCGATAAAATCCTATTTAATATCAGTGGATTGTGGTAGATTGACATTTACACCCTTATTTAGTTCAGATATCAAAACGTTAGATTTAGCTGAATTGTTTATTGTTTGTGGTTTAGAAATAATGAATATGTTAAAGTTGATATTATTTCCTTGTAACAGCTATAGTAACAGGGCTCCGCCGTGATGCCCTGATACACTTTGACTGCAAAGCTTACCTTCTTAGTTTCATGGCGGTCCCACTCCTGCATAGCTTTAGGCAGGGAGCCCATGATATGGTCCCCGGCGCTGAAGGCGTGGAAGGACTCCCGACCGAACCTGTCTAGGGTGTTGTGGACGGGGACTCCGACATTGTGTAGACAGCTCGCTACTTCCACGTCTTCGTCCTTCCCGGACTTCGCGCACGTGTTCTGGACAAGAGAGATAACTAGTGTTGAGTGAGCAAATGTGTATTAAACACAACAAGCAGCAAAAGTTGAACTACATCACGCCAATACACAGCACTTTTCCCGCTGCCTGGATACGATGACATATAATCCATTATTGAGAGTGACGTATTGTTATTATGACTAGTGAGTCCTGTGTGGTCATCTCACCGTGTCAGTGCCAGTCAACTGCAGGAGCGACGACAATGAAGCCTCTATCAATCCGCTTGAGAAAAGTCATCTTATGTTCAGCACACCTTTTACTTCCGCTTTCGTGAGATCAAATCGTTTTCTTGTGAAATGTCAAATAAACACTATAACACATGGAATACTACGCGGGAAATTAAATATCAATAACATTTTCAATAAAACACATGTCGGGAAATTCGTACTTTCGTTTCATAAAGTAAAAAAACCCAACGTATTTAATAAGAGCAACATACTTTTGTATTGTACCCTTGTTCCACCAGAAGTCGTAGAGCCTGTCTGCTGATCACGTAGCCAGCGCCTCCGCTCATGTACCCCCACTTGGTGTATTTCTTGAACAGGTGACCCACATACACCCCCTCAGTCGGGTCATAGTGCGACAACAGAAACTTCAAGTTCTCCATCACGACGAACGTATCGTCGTCCGCTTTCAGAAACCAGTCATACTTGTCTAGATGATGTTTGTAAATATGCTTTAAAGACGCTATCGACTTTTCCGTCAAGTGCTGGCGGCCATCTTTGATGCCAAGGTTCACTATTTCCTTTCCTGGATATTTTTTACTGGTTGTCATGACAAACATTCTTTTATCGCATCGTCTCGCCCAAGTCTCGTTCACTGCGGGGATTTTGTTGTTGATTTCCTTTTCCATTGTTGTTATCCAACAGAAGATCTTCAGTTTTGATAAGGTTTCTATTGCAACGGAATCATCTACAAATACTGAAAAATATAAAATATTGATATTTCAAAGATCCGAATAAGAAATCTGTAGTGCAGTCGGTGAGTGATTGGGGCTCGATGTCATGCTGTCAGGACATCTTCAGACTTCCATTTATACACTATAAACGAGTACGTTATTGTTTCACTAAGTGACAGGGTGTGTGTGTGTAGCTTAAGAGAAGAGGTTGGAGGTATGACTCAAGTATTGTCCGAAGACGCAGTTCACTTGTCTCAAAGATAGAAGCACCCTGACCCCGATCCGTCAGTAAGTTTTCAAATATTTTTCCTAAGTACATACATGTATTGTTCATTCTCCCATAACAGGGCTTGATTTTCAATCGCCAGCAGTGGTTTATTCGCAGTGGTTTATTTTTTGTCACCCAATCTGATTGGCTGGCTGAGAGTGGAGAGTTGTGTCATCGCCTTTTGATTGGCTGGCTAAAAATAATTGACGGCACTATTTTCGGATCAGGATACCCGAGGTCGTCTGGTAAAGGAAATCCCCAGCTGGCCAAACATTACCGTAGTGACACTGTTTCCATCTCCGCGAAAGTTGGTGACCGAGAGAAAATTTGTGGGGGAAGAAGGGATGTGATATGTGGAGATATATCAGAGAATTTCGGCTTCCCAATGTACCAGATTCAGTTGCAGAATGAAAAGACGGTAAGCGAAGCGAGATACCGCATCGATATTTTTAAAAATAACCACCAACCACATAAGAAATGTCACGTTATAACGAAGTGTTGATCTAGAGCCGATCGATCAAAAACATATTACAAAGTAATATTAAAATAATCGAGACTTAAATTCTTATTTTAAGAAAATAAACACTCAGATAATTTGGATCCAAAGCAATACTCAATTTTAATGCAGGAAACGATCAATATTTGCCGGACGGACCGTACATCTCACGACCAAGATGTTTTGCAACCACAGCAGTTGTTTCCCCTTTCAACGGGTGGAGTTTATCCAGATCAATATAATTAATGTATTTTGCCCTATAATTATTTGGTGTTTTTTAAACATGAAGACTTCAATTATTAAAACATACTATCTCAGGACAAATAAGAAACTCATTATGAAAAAACAAAATTACCCCGTTTAAACTTGAATGTATTAAGTCATACCTAAATCTATATAAACTCAAGAAAGTAATATATGTATTTATATTTTTTCTTAACTATTTTGATTTATTATATGGAGCAGACAAAATGATGAAGATAAAGATGGTGGGCACCAATCAACCTTATTAGGTATTTTTTTCAAAAACATTTTTTTTTTTCAACAATGATGTACATTTATGCATCTTTAAATATATTTTGTATTTTAGATAGGATTAAATAATCTAAAAATTAATTTCATATTATTAATTATTAGTTTTAGGTAGAAACTCAATATTACACTTGATTATTTTAAGAATTAACAGATAATACAGAGTATTAAGACAAGTAGAATTATGTTTGTCTCAAGTATATTCTTTAAACCAAAGATTTATTATTTACCATGTTTTCTGAAAAAAACACTTCTTTAATAATGCAATTGTTATATTATCATAGCAGATAAAGATCCCCAATATGCATAGCTAGCTTAACTTTAATGATAATTATTTCTTGGGATGATAAACTGGACATATGACAAAAAAAGAAATATATTTTTATTTATTATTCTCCCATTACAAGGTTTACTGTGGTATATTTTTTTCACATAATCTAATTGGCTGCCTGAGAGTGAAAAGCTGTGTCGCTATTTTAACAAGAGACCTTAAATTATTCTAATCTGTAAATTTTCAGAACATGGTAAGAAAAGAAAAACTCAAATTTATGGGTGATGAAGAAATGACCAACAAGAGGTCATCTTATAACATTTTACCATAAACCTCATTTCTTTACATTAGCAATGTCTAATTTCAATTTTAATACTTTTTACAAAAACAATCACATATGAACAGGTCACTAAAATACATATTTATTATTATGTCTTATTTCCATGAAGATAAAAAGATGAAAATGTTAATTTTAAATTACCTATTATCAGTAAGTCTCAACTTCTAATCTGATAAAATAACAAAAGAATAAAGTTTGGAGGTAACTGTTGCAGTAAAAATTGTTTACATATATCCTATGTATTTATGTTTCACACACAATAAATTATTGTGCTTGTCAAATTCACATTGTTTCTTGTCATTCACAAATATGGGGAAATTAGATGACTCATTTAGTAACATTTTTGGTGTCATGATGTTAAATATTATGTTCAAAAGAAAAATTGTCCAATGAATAACTTTTTTATATATATTTTTAATAAAAACGTGCTCACTTCAGGAACAAAAGAAAAACAAACAAAAAAGACATGAAATAATCATCATTTTACATATTAAATTATTCACTGTAAAATTAGTTTTAACGAGGATAATTCGTCCAAAAATATTACACTCCATTGATGGATTTAAGAAGATTTAATCAGCTGATCAGTTGCCTGAGTTGGTATTTATAGAATGTTGCCTGATCAGTCCTGCTGACAGCGCCTTGGGCCCTTGTTTTTCGTTAACAATATTTCACAATATTTAAGACAATATTTAACTTCCTCTTAATTGGGTTAATTACATTTGTTTCTAGCGAACAAATAAACGAATAACGTATTTACTAACACTAAAAAGGTGGGCCTATTTAGTGTTGCGCATTGAGAATGATATTCACGGCGAGACGAATGCAAATAAAGTTATGGGCCGAGTAATCCAAAATCATTAACAAATATCAAATCACATTACTAATTCTCAAAACGTTACTCCCATCAGCTTTTAATAGTTAACAAAAAACATAACATGAATGCTAACAAGTGGCTTTCCTGTCACGGAAAACTCGTGTGAGTTGTCTTCGCTAGATCCCTTTTTTATGGTGCAGTTGTCTCACTGAACATATTCGAAAACGAGGCTGGGGGGAATCCCGAGCGGTTACTAAACACGGGAAATCTTCAACTACGAGCTCGACATTTTATGGCGTATTGTAATGGGAGAAAAAAGGATTAACCACTGTGTTCGGTTGTTACCGAAAAATCTACGCACGAGTGATTAATCTGTCACGATTAGAACGAGGCTTTGCCGAGTTCTAATTTTGCAGATTAATCACGAGTGTGCTCTATATAATACTCTATATAATCCTCTATATAATACTCTATATAATCCTCTATATAAACGTGTTCATGTGCGATTCATTTGAACGTTACATGGGGGCAGCGATCTTTTGACTTCAAGAAAACGTGCAGATACTCCAACTATATCCGAAGCTCCTTATGAAGATGCATTTGTGTGGTGAGTATTCCCATCACGCCTACCTGTACTGTTCCGTGCGCCGGTGGCCACTCTTGTCGGCGAGATCTCCACCGCTACAACAGAAAACCTATACATGTAATAACTAACACAGGTAGGTCGGCATTAGTCACTGTTCACTATGCTGGAAGATGTAGGGCTGATGTCAAGTTGTGAGGTTGTTGCTTTTACCCATGCAGTCTTTGGGCCAGGCATGCATAGTAACTGACAGCAACGCCCAACGCCATCGTGCACAGCGGTACCCATCGGCCAATATACCAAGTCTGCCTACAGGATTTATAGTGGGATAATGAGGTACACATATCTATTTGGTATCTCAGTGGGCAAGCACTATTAATCGGCATTAGTCCGGACTAGTACAAGCGCGGACACACACACACACACACACGAATGCACCCCGATGTTCGATGGAGTTCAGATCAGGGCCCTGGGCTGGCCACGGTAGAACACGGATGTTGTATTGTTGCAGAAAGGCCATGGTAGCTCTAGCAACATAGGGACGAGCGTTGTCCTGCTGGAAAATGTGTTGTTGATGTTGTTCAAAAAATGGAACAACGTGGGGTCTGATCACTTGGTCGATATACCGCTGAGCAGTGACGACGTGTCCCCGACCTTGACCAACATTCAGAAAGCACATGGGTCCAAGTCTCGCATTAAGTCCAATCCCTGCCCATATCATGACGCTAGGTCCACCCCATGGATCTCTTTCAACAACGTTTCTGTCAGCGAAACGATCCCCTCGACGCCGCCAAATTCCGACTCTTCCGTCTGCATGGGAGACACAAAAGCAACTTTCATCAGAGAAGATGACACGCCTCCACTCATGATGACGCCAATTGCGATGACCCTGTGCCCACTGAAGTCGTGCTTGTCGATGCCGTGGTTGGAGAAGAGGACGACGTGCAGGTCGGCGACATCTGAGGTTGTTGGAACGGAGACGTCGGATCACAGTGTCCCGGCTAATGTGTCGATTATGTGTTCCTGTGGTCTGTCGAGCACTTTCACTTGCAGTTAGGAACGGATGTCGCTGGTGTTGACGGGTAATCTGCCGATCTTGTCGAGGTGTGGTGACCCTAGGACGATCGCTTCGAGGAAGGTCATCTGGGGTCTGTGTAGCATTGTTTCGATGCAGGAGACGGTAAATTGTGGTTATGTTAACGTTGAAATGACGGGCAACATCTTGGACAGACTCTCCAGCTTATGGTTCCGTGTTTGTTACCTATTTGCTTAAAACTAATTGCGTTTCTTTTGCGTGTGAGTATATATTTTTTACAATATTCACAGATTGTTATAATAACAACATTTCAATACAGCCATATCTAGTAATGAGAGTAATACAGACTTAAGGTAATGAGACAAGACATCCTAGGTGTAAAGAGTAAACCAGTGGCTGGCGTGAACAGCACATGAAGCGTCTGAACAATCACCCAATTACATGAAGTATTCTTGACAACAAACAGTTCATTGCAAGACTTACTATTTCACATTCAGAAACCTTGCTAAATTACACAGTTCCATGACGTTATAAATATTCAATAAGTCTTTATGTGTATTACAATAGGTCTTTCAAGGTAATTAATTAAAGTGCACAGTTTTCTTCAGGACAAATTAGAAGACAGTGAGCTTTATCTCCTCTACCATGTGTATCTACATGGCAGCACTCCAGGGTGAACATGTGTATCTACATGACAGCACTCCAGGGTGAACATGTGTATCTACATGGCAGCACTCCAGGGTGAACATGTGTATCTACATGTCAGCACTCCAGGGTGAACGTGTGTATCTACATGTCAGCACTCCAGGGTGAACATGTGTATCTACATGGCAGCACTCCAGGGTGAACATGTGTATCGACATGGCAGCACTCCAGGGTGAACATGTGTATCTACATGACAGCACTCCAGGGTGAACATGTGTATCGACATGGCAGCACTCCAGGGTGAACATGTGTATCTACATGGCAGCACTCCAGGGTGAACATGTGTATCTACATGGCAGCACTCCAGGGTGAACATGTGTATCTACATGGCAGCACTCCAGGGTGAACATGTGTATCTACATGGCAGCACTCCAGGGTGAACATGTGTATCTACATGGCAGCACTCCAGGATGAACATGTGTATCTACATGGCAGCACTCCAGGGTGAACATGTGTATCGACATGGCAGCACTCCAGGATGAACATGTGTATCTACATGGTAGCACTCCAGGGTGAACGTGTGTATCTACATGGCAGCACTCCAGGGTGAACATGTGTATCGACATGGCAGCACTCCAGGATGAACATGTGTATCTACATGGCAGCACTCCAGGGTGAACATGTGTATCTACATGGCAGCACTCCAGGGTGAAGTGCAGGTGGACACTTCATACTGGACAAAGTCGTTTATTACGGAGAACATCGTCTATCTTCCCATCTATTGGGAGTCTGTGGTTATAAGTTCTAAATCAAACGAGTTCCATGGATACCTGCTTAATCAAATAAAAGTACATTACCAGTGACCAGCTTGCCCCAGAACCTAATCATTCTTTGCTGAATAACACAGGCGATTGGTAGCCTTCCCAGCTCTTCATAGAGCATGTCATGTGGGGTACTTGTTGTACTCTTAATATTTTAAGAAATTAGTGTGAATGTTTTCAGTAATATTTAAATTTCCATTACCACCATACCATGGAGCAATGATGAGCTTTAGCTGTGATTCTGACTTACAATAAATGCATTTGCTTTCTTAGCTTGAGTCACTAATGTGGTGTTTGTTGCCAGGAATTTACATGACTTATTAAAAACAATCCCAAAGTACTTCATTGATTTACTTCTTTTATTTCATTTAAATTTAGAAGAAATTTATGTCTGAAATGCCTTGATTACCTTAGTCTTATCAATAGTAACAGTCAGTTTCCAGTTATAATCATTATTACAGCTATGCTCCAAGTCTACAATATCTTCAGCAAATATTACTGTATCATCAGCATACATCATAGTAATTAGTATAGGATTATTATATGTTGATGTTTCATCAACCATAATAATATCGAATACTCGACACATGGAATATTCTAGTTATTTCATTTCAGAAGCAAAACTTTGAAACGTTAATTCCCCCTACCTAACATGCAGCGACGTTTCACCACCCTTTGTCATTGAGACTTAAAAAGTAGTTCCGTGTTTGCAAAATCTTAAAACATAAAAACAAAAGTAATAAAAACTATTTAGGGTCACGAAAATTCTTAATCATGCATTTGGATTTGATTATATACAAAAACAACTTAAACAAAAGAATATGCTGATGGAAGTGAAAGAATACACGCTGGCCATGTAACAAAAGTGGCATTTGTTCGATTGACGAATTTGACGAATTAAAAGAGAAATGTACAGATTATAACGAAACAATTTCAATAGAATAAACAGCAAGAAGCGATATTAACCCCATAAATGACCATCAGTCATTATTTCGCCTTGTCAATGTGGAACTAACGTAAACAGTAAGTCAACTGTTTGTGTATGGGCCAGACACTATGATAAAGGGAGACAATTTGAGGGGCGGTAACTCTTGCATGACAATTGTTCCGTCCACGTGTTAACATCAAGCCTTATGTTAATTGCAATGAAAATATCCCTTTTCTCAATTTCGGAAAACTTATTCTTTCATGCTAACGTATATAATAAATAACACACATCTTTCCCTTATTTTGTGTCATAAGAATATGATACACACGAATGTTTATAGGATGAATGTTGTACTTACATGGCACAGATGGCAGAGCCTGGAACAGATTCCGGGAAATTATTGCATCTGTAAATAAAGACAGATTGGTCAAGTTGTAACTAATACTGCTCGCAGTTATAATCCGGGGAAAGAGGATGCACAGGTTGTCCTGTCGTCTAAATAGTCCCTTGGGAAAACAGAAACCTATGATGCTGGGTTCGAATACCGGTTCGCCCCGTTTATGTTTCTAGATTTGTCAGCACAAGTCTATGACCTGCAACACTTCGGGCTTTCCTCCCAGAAAATCCCTGACGTGCTGTGTTTTTCGAGGAATACTGTTCAAAGTGGTGTAACACCCAACTCACTCACTATTATCCAGAACAGAACCTTGTAAGCTGCCCGGTAGACGACGCCGCACTATTGTGAATAGCAAATCAAATAACAAATCCTCAATACAAAGATTATTATTATAGAACATCCCTTATCTCACCTAGCTAAAGGATTGATAATAAACGTGTCAATGTGTCGCTTTTACAAAATATTATCGTTTATATTTGCGTCAATTTGCCAGGTCGTGTGGTCTACAAGCAAACCGCCCACCCCTGCAGACGAATCACGTGTTTCACCAAAGCTTTAACGTCTACGATCGGAGTCACTTAGGCCCTGATATGAAATGCTGTTTACTCCCTCTTCCTGAGCAGTGCAGCAAAGACACGCGACCGGTGAGACACAAGGAAGATTCTGCCGCTCTCCACAACGGTGATTGCATACCACGACTGACCGGATCCAAACCGCACGTGGGCAGAACTTGGGAATCTAGTCTGTCTGCAGGAGCATTTTCTGTGGATGTCGCACACAAGACGTGCTAGATTCGGAACAATTTGAAACAGTAGGATTCAAGATTTTAAGACAATACTCTGTAAACAATACAATATTAATCCCGTCTAGTAACTCCAATCTTGTGACCTTGGCACATCTACTAAGAATGGGAGTTTTCACTACATAGCTGCTGAGTTTCACACAAAGCCGTGTAGACCTCGCCTGGTGCAGACTGCTGGAGGGCGGAACACCTTCATAAAACAATAAACATACATATGACAGTGGAACATCAACGCCAACTCCATCTTCCCGAGGCAAGGGAATTAACTGACTATAACAGTCCACTTTCCATCCTTGCCGAACTAGGCTGGAATTCCGGAGTAACATTTTGGCTGGACTAACGAGTCTATGCATAGTCCAATCAAAATCGCGTAACAAACAAGGCATCCTGTTTGTAAACAACATTAATTTAGACAGATGTCTTGCTAATCTTTTCTTGTTTTTGATCAAGGTGCTCAGTCGTTTAGATGCACTTAGCGAGGTAAAACCCGTTTTATTACATGTAGATCTTGATTACGATTAGATCGTCTTGACTGTGCACCACCATTTTGTTTGAAGCAAATGCAAGTGATATGAAAGTGGAATCTCATTGATCAATAGGGGGGCACAGAAGGGACATAACTCGTAATAGCCAGCCTAGTTCGGCAAGGGTGGACACTTGACTTTTATAGTCAGTTAACTCACTTGCCTCGGGAAAATGCACCAACTCAAGTCTCATGGCACATGCACATTCCACCCCAACACTCACACAACACAAAACAGATTCCCGTTACCTTGGAAACGAGTGCGGGTGTACTTGGTACCCATCCACATAACAAATGGGACAACCGACAGACAGCCTAGCACCAGGAAAAGGTATATTTTGAGCCTCATACCAGGGTCGTCTGGAGGGGGGATCCTGCAATAGCACAAACACACTGCTGACTGACTGTCTAGTATCTATAATAGTACGAAGGTCAACCCATCCCTGACCTGGCTGGTATCAGTGTTATCAGCACCGCCCGGACGTCCGTGACATGACAGTGACAGTGTTATCAGCACCGCCAGGGATACAGAGAGGAATACGACAGCGTCTGAAGAAGCCATGTGGTCCTGTGCAGCACAATTAAATAGCAAAATTTATTTTGTGGAGAACCAATTTTTCAATTCTCAAATGACCCAACCAAATACCTTAACATGTTGTGCAATGTCTTGCAAAAATATGCAAAATGTGTGTTATGCACGTGTATCGAAATCCAACACGTGTATTGACATTGTTCAAATACTAATACGGCAACAAGAAGTCCTTGATATCAGTGCAACGTGGGTGGGCACTGTTGCGTGAGTATGTGTGCAGCTGTGAACAGATTCCATGCACTCCAGAAAATGGAAAAGAAAAGTAACCCTACCAGCAAAAAAGTAACCATACCTGTAGAAAAATAACCCTACATCCCCCCCCCCCCCTCCCCCGCCCCCCCCTGCAGAAAAGTAACCCTATATGTAGAAAGATAACCCTACCTGCAGAAAAGCAACCCAACCTGTGGAAAAGTAATTCTTCCTACAGAAAAGTACCCCTTCCTGCAGAAAAGTATGGATGGATGGTTGGATTGTTTGTTGTTTAACGCCGCACTCAGCAATATTCCAGCTATATGACGGCGGTCTGTAAATAATCGAGTCTTGACCAGACAATTCAGTGATTAATATCATGAGCATCGATCCACGCAATTGGGATCGATGACATGTATCAACCAAGTCGGCGAGCCTGACCACCCGATCCCGTTAGTCGCCTTTAACGACAAGCATAGTCGCCTTTTACGGCAAGCATGGGTTGCTGAAGACCTATTCTACCCCGGATCTTCACGGGTCCTGCAGAAAAGTAGCCCTACCTGTAGAAAAGTAATCCATCCTGCAGAAAAGTAACCACACCTGCAGAAAAGTAACCATATCTGTAGAAAAGTAACCATATCTGTAGAAAAAGTAACCCTTCCTGCAGAAAAGTAACCCTACCGGTAGAAAAGTAATCCATCCTGCAGAAAAGTAACCATACCTGCAGAAAAGTAACCATATCTGTAGAAAAAGTAACCCTTCCTGCAGAAAAGTAAACCTACCAGAAGAAATGCAACCCTATCTGCAGAAGAAAAATAACCCTACTGTAGAAAAGTTACCCTTCCTGCAGAAAAGTAATCCTTCCTGTAGAAAAGTAACCCTACCGGCAAATAGAAGCCTACCTGCAAAAGAAAGCAACCCTACCTGAAGTAAAGTCACCCTTCCTGCAGAAAAGTAACACTGCAAACACGAAAACGTCGTTTTTTTCCGTATATGGTCATTGGACGGAAAAACGACTAAATATTCATTAAAATTGATTAATTGGTCAGCGTCTAGAAAGTGTCCAGAAAAGGGTCGAGTTTTTCAAGCGTAAAATGGACGGAAAAACGATGCTTTTTGCTCCGCCTTGTACCACTGTTAACGGCCAATCAGATGGCGCTGGTCCCCCGACGCCTTGCTCTAGTATCTCTCGCGCGCAGTGCAGCGAGATTTGATGATAAGCTAGTTTTAGGATATGTTACATGTTAATGGAATTCAGACACGCGCCAAGAAGTCAAACCAAACAATGTTACCAAGTTTATTGTGGTAACGGCTATGTACAGTTACCCCTATCGGATAATGGGTTGTGTTTCATTTGGTTATAACAATAACTATTTTTTTAATGTGAAGTTTACAAGATATACGACTTGGACGCGAGGTCGGTCTCATGACGTTCTTCACGTGACTGTATTCTTGAAAAGGCGTAAACACTGACTACTTCCACATTCCTGGGGAAAACCCTTGGAATTCCCTGGTACGAATTCATACAGAAGCGTGGTTGCAAGCCCATTTAAGGATACCCTCGCTACAACCCATCCCAGAGAGAAAAAACACGAAAAAAAATCCAAACTGTCGCAGTGACAATTTACAGAAATCTATGAATTTACCTTAGTATCTATTTGACACATCTTCACAATCACCTTTCAATGATCGGCCAATTGATCAGTGATGCCAAAGGCTTGAAATAGCCACAGGTTAATTAACAACTTCGAAAATATCTCCCGTCACGTTTATCGTGTCGGCCATTTTGACGTATTGTACTTGATGTAAACGTATTACGACGCTCTGTCATTATAATTGACTTACTCAGGTAATTCTGTAAAAGATCTTCTCATCTAATGAGGATATTGTTTGGAATATATTTCTTGTAAACATACTAAAACATATGTTCCTCGCTTTGGGGGGAACTATTTTATTCCGGGGTGGCCCATTAAATCTAGTAGTAAGTCAAGGCACCATGTGTGATCTGTTATTTTATGTGTTTAAATTACGATTTGGGGCGTTAATAAAATACACTGACGCAAGTATATTCTATTCAAATCAATTGGCTAATTGAATATGCTTTCTTTTACGTATTACATAACATCACAAAATATGAACAGTTGCAGTAACACACTACGGTAATCGCATTAAACATCATTTTCAACTGTACAGTATATCAGTATTTCAGTTATATCATGGTGTATCAGACTGATGTGGGATAAAAATCCGAAGTGGTTCAGGTCATCCAATGGGTGTTCGGGAAAAGGTGAACGTATCCTGCCACACAAGTGGCACCCGTCACAAACACATGCAAGGACAAGTCAATTGTTCACCTGAACAAAGCACGGAAACACACAATGATGCCCGTCCTCAGTTTTACCGAGCATGTAAATTATTTTGTCCGTCAAAAACATGGACGAGTATAAACAATATGTTCATTCACGTAATACATGTCATACATTTGACAAAATGTATTGACTCGGAGCATTATTGTTAATCACAGCGTATGCAGTTGAACTCATCACCCATCCCATTATTGATAACCCTTCTTGAAGATCTATGAAATCAGAAGCTGCAACACTCTATCTTTTAACTGGCATGTCAGACTTCTATTTCATTACTCAGTTTTATTTGCACGGATTACTATGGAAGGGACATTGTCTCGTTGTCGCATTGTCGCATTGACGCCTTTACAAAAACAAGCAAAACGTGTCAAAATTAACAAAAGCGCGACAATTGGCCATTTGTCGCATTGTCGCTCTTTGATAATCCTTTTCTTTATTTTACAAAAGGGCGACGATGCCGTAACGCGACATTTTCAAGGTCAAAATATGTCTCGTTGTCGCATTGTCGCCCCATCACAAATGTGTATAAAAGGCGTAAAGTTCAGTTATTGTTACAGTTAGGAAGTTCAACCTGATAAATGTACGTCTTGAAATGAAAACACAAGTCCGTCCGCGAGTCCATAACGTTTTATTGTGAGCTCTTCTCTAAAAGTGCTTAGTGTTCAATTCCCAGTTCCAAACACGTAGTACCTCCTCAATAATCCACATACCTCCAGTGCAGTGGTCTTCCGGAAGATCTTACTCTTGACCGTATTAGACAACTGACGAGGGCATTGCCTAAAAGTCGGGCCGGGCCGGGCCAAGACGGGCCAAAGTGTTATTGGCTAATTACTTCATTATCGGCGATCATACCTACATATTATTGATGCAACATACACACATGACATTAATGAACAATCACCAACCAAAAACGTGAAACATAATTAGGTATTTCGGAGTAAATCGCTTGAAATCCAGAAAGTGGAGCTGTGTGTAAGCGTCGCTGATCTAGGTAACATGTAAAAGAGCAATCGTTAAACGAAATAAGATTTGAAACGTATCAAATACTTCTAGCTCTCGCGATACAAATTTCCATCTATCGGCATAGTGTTTATATTTATAAGATAGTACTATATCTATGAAAATACCACTTAATAATGTCACTGTTCATCGTGTATAAAGCAGACACGTTGGTTAAAGTAAACCTCTTCTCCCCATACTCTCAACAGTCTCACAAGTGTTCGGTCCGACTTGGCCCGGGCTGTCAAAATCAACTTAAACCTCACAGATGTAACATGAAATGGATTCACACCTATAGATTAGTATTATATCTACCTAAATATCTCTTTATAGTGTCTCAGGTCGCGGTTTTAAAAGAAAACAAGGTGCTCAAAGTGAAGCCCTTTTCCCTCTACATTCTCAACATAGTCTATATCAGAAGTGGTGCTCGGTCCGGCTTGTCCCGGGCTGTCAAAATCAATTATACACACAGATGTATCATCAAATGTGTTAATATCTGTAGCTTAGTATGGTATCTACCTATAAAACACTTTATAATGTCACAGTACATCGTATTTAAAGAAAACAAGGTGCTCAAAGTGAAGCCCTTTCCCCTCTAGATTCTCAACGTAGTCTCTATCAAAAGTGTTTGGCTTGTGGTAGGTCCGACTTGGCCCGGGCTGTCAAAATCAACTTTAAACACACAGCTGTATCATCAATGTAGAGGGAAAAGGGCTTCACTTTGAGCACCAAGTTTTCTTTACATACCGCGATCTGAGACACTATAAAGTGGTATACAGGTAGATATTATATCATTTTTTCTTGGAACATCTATAAGATGTACAGCTACATGTATTTACCAAAAGAAAGAATCTACGTTTTTACTTCATTAAATAAACATTCACTCATTGAACATCTTCAACAGTTTTGTCCATGTTGAGATACACTGAAATGGTTAGTTCACTTGTTACATTTATATAGAACAGAACGATATTTGTGATTAAATATGATTGTGGATACATTTACCTTGGCTATATTTTAAAATTCAACAATAGCTTGCGTGTGGTTTGTTTGGAAGCATAAAATCAACTATTGTTTGTAAAAACCATTTGTGTGTGTTAATATATATGTTTTTTAAAGGAAGAGGTGTTTGAATAAATAATTATTTGTGTGTTCACAAACCCCTATCATGTAATTATATTTTCCTGAATAACATGTTGTTTGCATGTAAAATAAATGTCCCTGTTCA